ACAGAAACAAAAGTATTAAAAACTATCTCGAAAAGTATTCTTGTTTGTGTAATTAAATTTAATAGGGCTTCAAGAACAACTTAAACACCATTTCATGTACGTAGTTAATTTCTTTCTTCTTTTTTCAAATTAATTATCGTTATATATACATATATATGAAGAAAAAAATTTCAGGCTGAAGCCTCCACTCCCCAAATTAAATCCTGGATCCGCTAGTGCTTAAAACATCAAGTTCTACCCTTATTTGATTTGCCTAGTTTTTCTATACTATCAGTATTAAACGTATAAAGGAATCATAGAACTTTTTTCTATTGTTCTGTGAAGTACGCGAGACATAAATAATTATTATACCATTTGACCGAAATATGCTTCGAAGTCTAAGTGCTCTAACTGCAACCTCGTCTGGTTTACGTCCAGTTTTAACTCCCCTGCTATAGCTAAATATCTTGAGCTCCACGTCCTTAGACCTAAATCTCAACTTTTTAATTTGCGCAGTGAATATCGCCAATCAGTTTCCAGAAATAGATCCGAACGTGAACAAGTGTACTGCGGATCATTATAGTTACCTTAGAAAGATCCATAACCACAGGCCGATATACGGGGGGGGGGGGAGGAGAGGCTTTCGGGTTGAACCCTCCTCACCTCCCCCAATATGGAAAACTGTAACCATGTTATTGGTAAACATATTAAAAAAATATCTCTTAATGTATTATTGTTCATGTTATTACATTTAAGAATCAATTAAACACCATTTCATAAAAGTAGTTAGTATCTTTCTTTTTTTTTACAAAGTAACTATCGTTATATAATCGAAAAAAAAGCTTTCGAGCTGAAGCCCCCACAAAATTAAATTCTGGATCCGCTAGTGTCCATAACTGTAAGTGGCCTTTTGTGAACAAAAAATACCTGTATTCAAACCACCATAATACTCTCCAACAAGCCTATGGGACAGTTCTCGTTGCTGCTCTGCAAGTCCATCGGAATTCCTGGAAAAACTTCCGAAGAATATCAACGGACAATTCCATCATCCTCCACCCATGGGACGCTTTCCTATGCAGGAGGATATATCTACTATATATTAGTAATTATTATATGCACGTACGCACGAGCGTACACACACTATTACAAATAAATACTGAAACTAGACATTGATCTCACGAGCTGACAAGATTTTATTAGTAGTTTTTATGTAATTAGCATTCTGTATGTTGACATGATGAAGTGATCTAGCTTCTTTTCCCAGTGTTATAATCATTAAAGTGCGGGTATCTCTATAACCACTTTACAAGTTAATTCACGTATAAATTTCGAACGATATGGCCCCTTAGCAGTGCAGTTTGTTAGTTGAACAAGGACGACCCGAATGAGGCCATATGGGTAATTCTACCCCCATTCATCAGACGCACTCATGTTTGACCTCCAGCTATATCAACAGCTCCTCAACTAGTCTTGTTGGCCAATTCTTGCATCGATTATGAAAATCATCTAAAATTATTCGAAGCAGGTCACTAGAGTCATCGTTTTAAACGTTTAAGACGTAAGTAAAATTGTCAATAAAGCAATTATAAATTGGAATTTCAATAGGGCATGATTCCTATTCACTTAAGCTACAACTCATGCAGAAACTTAATTTTGTATGGTTAGCTTAATCAGTTGCTTGCTGGTTACAAAGATCTTAGCAGCTGATGAGTAAGGGATTACTGATACTCCATCATCTATATGCCTCTATCATTTATTCAAATATTGTATTTATCTAAATATTGCACTATCTTCATGTACAACCAAATTATAATTGTCTACAGTTAACAGTTAATAGTATATCCTCTATTAACATAATAAAAATATTCTAGTTAATTGGTTTTTTCATGCACCTCCTGGTGAAGCATCCACTTTAATCAACATTGTTGAGGCAAATGCCATTTATAAACACAGCTGATAGAGCAGAAAATAAATCGTCAACTATAGTTAGATTCAATTAGACCTAGAAGTTGGAAACTGGTCTGCAAATCCTTTTTTTTTCTCAATAAAATTGGTTTTTACAAAATTAATATTTAAACTGATCTTACTTTGCGTGTTTCTGGCTATTCGAAACCGAAATTATCTAAAGTTGTGATTTATCAGTCATTCTCATTTCGTCTACATTTAAAAAAACAAACAAATACTGTATTCTATGTTTGCTATTTTTCTAATAGGTATTTGGAATATGAATAACTGGCTATAACTATAAAAAAAATATATATAAAACAACTTTTGTTTGTGATACTATATGCATATAATAAAGTATATAAATTACTTCCGCAGACTTCAGGGGAGGGAGGGAGGCAATCACCTCCCTCCCTCTCCAAAAAAAATAGAAAAGAGGCAACAATATAGTCCCTCTCCCCAATATTTCGAATAACAAAAATTAAATCTAAATCAATAATAATTAATTCAAAAGAATGAATAAAATATATAAACTTAAATCAATTAAGAAAATAGTAAAAGTCAACTAGATGGCTAAGCTAATTGAAATTTTAGATTATATTCAAAGAAAATTTATATATAGAAACATATTCTACGATTTTATGACTCATTCAGGTGCACCGTACCATTTTTACGTGAAGATTTTATCACATTTCTCTCGGCAAATTTAAAACATACTAGAATTGAGAGTTCATCTAACCACCTCAAATATTTAAATATAAACAAAAATATGTAATATATTAAATTGCTTTGGTAATGAGTTTTCAAATATATCCATACACAAAAAAAAACTAATATATAAACATTTATACAAATTTATTTTTATAAGGAGTATTATTTGTTTGTTTTACAATAATTATGTTAATTATTACTCATAGTTTTTATACATAATATAAACTCCCGAGACTTTTTTGGAGAACCATCACCTCCCAAACCAGAATGGAAAGTGTGAAAATTTGAGCACATTTAATCTTTAATATGGAACAGGGTTTTCTAACAGTTGTGGAATTTAAAATTTCCATTTTCAGTGGTTCTTCAAGCAGAACTAAATTAATTAGCCATCACAAATTCAATTTTTTTTTTAATTATTGTATTTTTCTTTGAATACAATTTCCTTTTCACTTCACAAAATATCAACATGTCTAATTATTTCAACAATCAAAGCAGTACTTTTACTTAAAAAAGATAATTTGATATAAGGTCTATCAGGAAAGATAATAGTGTATAAATTAGAAACTGGAGCTTGTTTTTCCTGTAATTTTCAGTTGATAAACTTTCTAAATCTAACAATATTTTGTTAATAAAAGAATGTATACTTACGCCAGCATAAACTCCAGAAATATGCCATATATTACAATTTTATATCAGCTAAGTATAAAATAAACATTTTTTTTGTCTTTAGAAAAACAATTTTATCTTTTTGAAAAGACTTGAGCATGTTCGATTCCAAATTTTTGGCATTTTATAGAATGACAAAATCGTCCTATTTTCATTGAAAAGAATCTCTGAAGCCTCCATTGAACAAGCATAATACTGCACTGTGATTGAAACACGACTATGATGTCACTATGCTTCTTACTCTTGTCAATTAATTTTTGTCTTGCTAACAGTATTCCTTTCATCTACCTAGGCTGCGATGACCAAGCATACAATATCCTATCATCAACAACCTTAAAATGACTCCTGAGAGAACTATAAGATTTAGCTGATCTGATCGTAGATTGCTAATACTGATTTGATTAAATTTATTTGTAAAAAAAAGATTCCAAGTAGAGCAGGTAAGATGATTGAGAAAGGTATACCTGAAAACAAAGTAGATTATATTTTGGCAAAGAACAGCTTCGAGTGTGCCAAAAAGTTACATAAGCTTAGGCAATGCAAAAAGATTGCTCGTAGTAGCTTATTGCAATAAAGCCAAAAAATATCGGCACATCCTGAGGAAGTTTCATTCAAAACAGTTAATTATACATAGTGAATCTAATTTAAAAAATAAAAAGATGAATTAGACGAAACAAAATAACATTGCTTTGTTTAAAGGTTTATTTTGAAGCTGTATTAGTTATGGAAAGGAAATAACAACATAACATATAGAAATGTTTTATTTGAATTGGTAAATACAAACATCTATATGTATACAATAAATGTTTAGAACACACTTGCAACTTCACTTACAAATGAAGGAAGCGGTACTCTTCAGTTATAATTAAAATCTAAATGTATATAAAGAAATAATATAAATATATTAAAAAAAGAGTCTTAGTTTCAAATTCTTATTCTTAATTGTAATTTTTATTGTACAAACTAATTTATTTCTAATAAAGCTCACAAGTATTTAACGACTGTTCTTAACAAAAGGTACTTGATGAGACGAGGAAAATTATAAACAGTGAATCCTCATGATAATACCTATAGTAAGAAAAAGAAATGTCCATTTTTTAGAAGTAACCGCTCCAGAAAGAGCAGAAAAGCATAAATGATTTCCAGATAGAAGCTCCATAAAATATATTTATAATGAAAAATACTTCAATCAAAATACTGCTTAATATGCCCTGTACTTGCTAAATTTGAAGATCTTTACTTGGTCCCATTAATTGTCTTAAAATAATATCCAAATAGATATTGATTTCATAATTGAATCACACCAAAGACCAAAAGTAATATTTTCATTTTGATTCTAATACTTCAGAACATCTGTGAATGCGGAATAAAATTTATATTCACAATGAAAATTTATTTTATCTCTTCTACTTAAAAAATATAATATTTTATCATTGAACACAACTATATTTAGATCAAAGAGATAGGTTCATTCTTGAAACTATAATTGACTAAATATGTATTCTTTCAATTCTTCTTGGTTCCGTGGAGTGCAGATATGAAAAAATACAATTTACTGTGACCAATCAGAGAGTGAGACCTTACTTATGATCCCTTTTATACTAATTTTGGAGTTTAACTATCATTGTATAACGAGGATCCACTGTACAGCTCTTACTAGTTAGTATGTCAATGGCACCCAAAAAGTAAATGTACATATAAAAAAAGTTGATAAACAACATTATTCAGGACTAGTTTAAGTAATAGGCATGAGTCCTTGGTAATAAAGGACAGCTCTTGCCGACAACTGCCATCTAGCAGCACGCATCTCAATTAACTGAAGCAGGGTTCTACGGATCTGAGCAGATGTCTCTTGCATAAGGAAGGCATCCCGAACACAAGCCATCAACTGTTCCATCTGCTTAGGGCAATCTCCTTCCATGTCCCTACCAGTCGTCGTCACCACAAAGAACAGAGACTCCACCTGTATAAAATGTATTGATAAAATCAAATGAATTTAAAATATCAGAATGAAAGACTAAATTGTGAAAATTACATTGAATTTATATCCAGAGAGAAATAGTATTTTAAAAATTCAATAACCTCAGCTGTTGAAGAAAAATGTAAGTAATTTCTTTCTGCACTTTAGTTTCTAAATTAGCCATTTATAAAACACCCTACAGTGAAATTTTAAAACAAATTATTTAAGCCTTTTAAAGATTGTGTGAAGATCAAATCATCCTCTTTTTCTCAAATAATTTTTTTCATAATCAATTTTTTCTCCTTTAAGATTTCATTTTTATACCGGCTTAATCCAAAAAATACTTTTTATTTCTATTAGGTTTAAAGTAAAGAAATTTATCAAAACATTAGAAATGTATACAGAAAGTAAAAAAAAATCAATAACTTTTTTAAAGTCATCATTTCTATAATAAAATTTTACCTCTTTCCTACTGGTAAATGTCGGTTGACGGAGGAAGTCAGTGCAAACTTCAATGAGGATAGCCAGAAGCATCAAAGCAGGAGATGAACCATCAACATCCAGATCAGCCCGATGTGGTTTCATCTGTATAATAAAAGAATAATATAAAATTGATAATATCTTAGACCTTGTGATTCACTAAATAAGATAAAGTATCCAAAATATATTTTATTGTAATTGTGGATTAATGGTTGACTGCAGTGAATAATTGAAGAGAAGAATAGTTATGAAGACATCATATCAGTGTAAAATTAAGCATTTTTAGATAAAATGTGGTTATTATTCTGATTGACGTTCTCTAACAGGGTTTAAATGGCTAATCTTCAATATTAACTTCCTCTAAAGTACCTTTAATTTTTTTTTTTTTTGAAACAATTGACTATTTCACATTAATTTTTAATATGAAAAATGGTTAAATACAAAATATGAAAGAATTTGATAAATAAATAAAGGAGGAATAAGAGATCGTAACAAAGAATAGTTGTATTGAGGAACCAAATGAATACGAACGCACCCAAGCTCACCCAAAAGATTAGAGCACGCTTCCATACGTATTTTAAGATTAATATAATACGGACTCTGACAATATTATATAAATATACATATGAGGTTTTCATAAATGCTATTGTTGGTATTATTTAATATTTAATCGTATAGATTACAGCAATATAAATATTAAAATTTGTATACATACAAATAAAAATACCCGCAATGAAATATAAATAGAGTCTATAATTTACTTTGCTTTACCTGAAAATACTTATTTCTGCTAAGAAGAGGGTGATAAGTGAAAGTTGTGTGATGCACACACTACACCAGATTTTTTATTTTTGGCGATGTTTTGGCCCGAAATTCAGCCCTCAATTGGGGCTACAAAAAAAAACATAACAATAGGCATGAGAAACTATTAACACTAAAAAATAAAAAAAAAAAAATAATATCTAGGTGAAAGGTATAGTCTAAAAGATGTAGGTAGAATAAACTTAAAGTAAAACAGAAGATAAGGATGGTTGGGATGATCAGTCAAAATAAAATAGTAAAAATAGATAATTGTATTTATTTTCACAATAATTGTATTTAAAGTAAAATAAAGTAGGCAGAAAAGACTTAAATTAATATAACGGGATAGAATAAATTTAAAGGAAACATAAAATAACGGTAACGAAGTTAAGGTTGAAAATAGCAGAAGCAAAATTAGGATATATAACATAACGGTAACAGAATTGGAAAATTATGAATAAAAAATAACAGTAACTGAGAGGAACTATGAAATAAATAATAACGCCAACAAAGTAGGGACTAATGAAATAAACATTTTTAAAATAACGGTATCAAAGTTAAGGATAGAAAATAGAGGAAGCAAAGTTAGGATATATAACATAACAGTAACAGAGGACTATGAAATAAATAATAATGGCAACAAAGTAGGGACTAATGAAATAAACATATTCAAAATAAGATAACATAAGAAATGAAAAATTAATTAACAGCAAAATGTTATGGAACGTATGAGAAAAAAAACAACGTAAGTGTAGACAAAAAATAAATGAGGTGATATAGTTGTTAAAATATGATGTTATAGTATGCTAAAAGGAAGTAAGATAATCATAGAATAAAATATAAAATAGAGAAAAGGAATATGAAGTTATATAAAGAAAATAATAGTTGTAAATTGAAAAATTAAAATAATGTAAATAAGATGCAATGAACAAATGTATCAATATACACCAAAAAGAGGTGCAGATATGGAAAAAAAAGTAACGGGAAAAATGAAAAAGAGTTATTTTAGTTTTCCCCTATTTTCCTTTTTCCTGTTACTCTCTTTTCCATATCTGCACCTCTATTTTGTGTATACGTTCCATTACATTTTGCTGTTAATTAATTTTTCATTTCTTATTTTACCTTATTTTGAATATGTTTATTTCATTAGTCCCTACTTTGTTGGCTTTATTATTTATTTCATAGTTCTCTGTTACTATTATTTTTTATTCATAATTTCCTAACTCTGTTCCTAATACTAACTTTGCTTCCATCATTTTCTACCCTTAACGTTGTTACGGTTATTTTATATTTCTTTTAAATTTATTCTACCTCTTTATTTTACTTTAAGTCTTTTCTGGCTACTTAAGTTTATTATACCTACTTCTTTTACACTATACCTTTCAACAACATATTACTTTTTCTTTTTAATTTTAATAGTTTCTCATACCTATTGTTATCTGTTTTTTTCGTAGCCCTGATGAAGGCCTGAACTTCTGGCCGAAGCTTAGGCAAAAATAAAAAATAAATATACCTATATATTTTTAGTTTTTTTTTTTATCCCAACCTCCTCCATTATTCTCTTCAAATATTTTATTGGAAAAATTTTTGTTTTTATCATTGTGATAACAGACAATGAGTGAGTGATATGTCACTACATTGAGTTATTATACAGTTTGTGTACACCCATAAATAAACAATTGTAAAGAGATTGCTTCAAAATATGATAACAGAGCGATAATATACCTGAAATGATCATCTTAGAGCTTAAACAGAATCTGGGGTACAACAGGAATGTAATAAATAGGGAAGATCATGAATGAGAATGTTAACAAAAAAAAAAAAATCAAAAGAAATATTAAGAAATGTATTACAAAAGGAATTAAAGGAAGTCCTCAGAAGGACGGGTGGCCGAATGGGCTAACTAGTGTGTACAGTACCGTTGCCCAGCAACCTGATATATGAGACAACAATGAAAAATAGTTCCGAGTTCGCATCCCGGAGCTAGGGGAGTCTTTTAAATTCCCGCCCACACACCCTGGCCCGGGAGAACCACGTATAGCCTTAAAGGCGAGGAAGGGGAGTACTGAAAAAAAAAAAAGAAAAAAAAGTCCTCAGAAGAAGAGTGGATAACCAAAACGATGAGAGCTCTAACAACCACAGTTCTACAAAACGCCAAAAACTGTTCAGACTAAAGAGGAGAAACAGGTCTTTAATAACAGGAAGTAAGCTCTAGATAACTTTTAATTAATATTACAGAATCAAACAATTGCCCAACTAGCGTTTGATCAGTGTTTTGTCAGCACAGCTGGCAAAAAGTTAAAGTTGATGACCCAACAGTGAACAGTTACCTCGCAGTACAGAGCATGCAGGTAAGACATAAGAGAGAAATAAAACGCGTCTCCAGCAGTCCCTCCTTTACACTTTTTTTCAACCGTGTACTGCAATATGTTGAGAAGGCTCTCTAAAAATGTTCTTTGCTTCTCTCTCTGCAACAGAAAAAGGAAAAACTGCTGAAACTAATCACTAAAACCTTTTTTTCTTTACTTTAATGAAACATTATACATACACAAATAAAGTTTATATTTCTCACTGATTGAAACAATACAGCAAAAATAACCTTCCAAATTATGTCCAAAATAATTTTCTATTTTTTATACATAACTAAGATTATTTTCCATACCTATTAATTTTCATTAAATATTTTTTTAAATAAATATTTCTAAAAAATTACATATTAACTAACATTAAAAACTAACTTTACATTTTGGCAACCCTGCCAGGGTTAATAATGTGCGGTTTCCAAACTTTTCAAAAATCATTATATATTATTCGATGACTTCCTGCAATACTTCACACAAAACTTTTATCATATTATCACGATATCCAAAACCTGGCCAAAGCTTACATCCTGTCTTCACTTGTCTCCTTCAATAACTCCAACCTCCTTCACGAATGGGTCAGCCAGACTGGCTGTGATGTTGCCATCTTTGTCCTTGATAGCCTAAAGACCGAAATCCTTGACTGCTCCCCACCATCCAAGCATCCCCAAGTTAAATACCTTACTGCTGAAATTTCCTGTAATACTTTTACATTCCTTTAGTACACCATCCTCCTCTTGTGCCCTTTGATCCACCCTTTGAATCAACTTTATTCCCCTCTGCTCTAGAATAATTATTTCCAGTGACCTAAATATCGATCTCCTCTCTGATAGCAATGATAAATCCTACATGGAAAATCTATTTTTCACGCTTCACTTCTTCATAATCCCTTTTTATCCTACTCACCACACCTGCAGGTCCGACATGGTTAGATCTCTTCATTATCAACTCCTCACAGAACCTCCTCTCCTCTCAATTGTCAGTATCCTTTTCATCATCTCACGACCTGATCCAAATATCCTGTTATATCCAAACTCCCCCGATTTAGCATAGAACCCTTACTTTCCATCAATTAGAGAATTTCACATATGAAAAAATACTGCCTGATCTCGAATCTCTGGACTGGAATCATACATATTATTTCTTAAATGTATTTTTTTTGTCGGTATGCCAAAACTTCGTCAATTCATCAAATCAAGTGATTGACCACTCATTTTGAAGATATTCTTCTCCTTCACATGCGAAAAATAGTCCTATCCCATCGAAATTTCTGAGAAAAAATTTATGAAGGAAAAGAAACTTAATTTGCGAAACTCTCAAAAAGTATGCATTTTTTTCTTGATCGTACAGTTCATTAGTTTTGGTATACTTAATAATTTATTCCTCTTTAAAGATACTGCATTTACTATTCTACTACCATTTTTTTCCTGGCTGATATATACTTTATTATTTCTTAAAGGCATTTTTTCTTTGTACATTTTATATTTTTTAACTATTAAGAAAATCCCATGATTGAGGCTTTATTTTAAATATTACCTTTTCAGCCAGCATTTAAACAAAGGTTCTAGCAAAGCAAATTGTACAAATATTTTGGTCTATTATGTTAAATGAAATATTGTAATCAACCCAGGATAAATAAACAATTCCCCCCTTACATAATACATAGGATCTACTTATTTCCATATTGTTTTGCTATTCCTTCACTTAAGAAATGTCTGCGAATTATTCGCACCGGCCAACTAGTGAATTATATTCCTGCTCTTCTATCGATCCTATGGTTGATATTCTTACATCCAATCTTCTCAGTATCCTTAATATCCATGCCCCTGTAAAAACCTCTACCTTTTCAGTCGCCTGAATCTTGGCTATATCAAGAAATTAAAAATCTGCAGAAGAGACGCGATGCTGCCCGTAGAGGCTTTAGACGTACTAGACTTGCAGATGACTTCCAAGCGTTTAGGGTGCTGCACAACTTGCGCAACACAATCAAAGATCCAACGAGCGAAATCCTCTTACTTCCATGAAACCCTTTTCCCTCAAATCAGCTCTTGATATCAAAACTAAATGGCCCTTTGTGAACCTTCTAAATCCCCTACCTCACAAGTCTTTCTAGTATCACCTGATGATTTAAACTTATATTTTATATCTGCTGTCTTTACCTCTTCCCAGCCATCCCCCTCCGGTTTCTCTTCTGGGACATCATTTAACGATGATGAATTTTTCTTTTCTTACATTTCCCCTACAGATCTTTTATTCGCTGTAATGAAATCAAGCACTAATTCCACTGGACCAGATGACATTCCAGACAAATTAATAAAACTATGCCTTCCCGAATTTATCCAGGTTCTCCTCCTCATGTACAATTTCTCCCTTCAGAACTCAACGTTTCCAAAATTCTGGGAAAAGCCATTGTCCTTCCTTTAAATAAAATCTAAAACCCATCTTCCCCTGCAGATTTTTGTCCAATCTCAATCCTTTCCAATCTCTGGAAAACCAATTAAATGTAGAGACCAGTGCAATCCCAAGTCTCCAACTTTCTCAAAGAATCCAACCAACTTGATTCTCTCCTATCTGGTTTCCGCCCAGCCTACTCCACACAATCGGCCCTAATTAAAATTATCAGTGATGTATAAGCTCCTATTGATGAAAAAAAAAGTAACTGTCCGTATCTTCCTTGACTTCTCCAACCACATATCCCACATCGCTCGGCGATCACTTTCCACTCCCAAATTATTTTATCGCTTCCGATATCTCCTATCCAAACCTACCTGTAGACTCTTGGTTTCTTCCCTCACTTTCAATACAGCTGTGTAGTGTATGGGGGTCTCTTGGTGACAGATTTAAGAGACTTCTGAATAGCTTTCTCAGATTTGTCACTGGAATCCCGAGACTTCCCATGTCTCACACCACTACCCTTCCTTACGTAGACAATTCTTCATAGGCACATTCCTTTATCAGATTATCAATAGTGATCGCCCTTTCTATGCCTACAATCTTCTCCAATTCAAGTCCTCTGTCCACTCTCTTATCACAAGATCCCGATCTTCCGAAATTCATACCACTTTCACAGATCTGCCTCTTTCCAAAATTCCTTCGTTGTCCACTGTGCTATTTTCTGGAATTTCCTCTGTTTAGAAATCTGGAATACCACCTCCTTAGCCACCTTCAAAACCCTCCTATTCCAATTCCTATTGGCAACATTCTTTAGTGCTATAAATGCATACCTAAGAGCCTATAATGACCTTCCTGCAATATCAATGTCACCAGCGTACCTGATGAGTTGTATGAGATGATTTATTAAGATACCAGATGTCTGGATCTCAATATCTCTTATGGCCTTCTTGAGTTCCAGATTAAAAATTAATTCATGAAATTTAAAAAAAATCTTCAGTTTGAAATCAGGTAGTTATAAAGTTTGGATTTTTAATGCTCTTGAACTTACAATAGGTACAATCCATTCCTACATGATCTGGTACTATGTCTTGTAGTTTATAGTATAATTCGAGCCTGGGTCTAGGAGTTGAGAGTAGAGAGCCAAATTCACTTTTTACTTTGAACTGAACACATTTATATTAAAAAAATTAAATTCATTTTTAAACCAAACAAATTACTGTATTGTTAATGAACGTGACATAAATCAACTACTTGATAGTAATTACTTCTACTAATCTACTTTACTAAATGCAATAGAACTATATACCTCTATGATATAAAATGACAACCAGGCTAATGAATCCGCCCATGACCTATTCTCCTGCGCCTTAGAAGATATCAACTTAGCAAGCTCAAGGAGGGCTGATGAAGGCATCTTCTCTGGACCTATATGATTATAAGCTGAATTTGTATCCATCAACTTTCTTCATTAAACTTAATCATTTTAAAAATTTATAAAATAACATATTACTAATTATACACTTACAGTGGTAGACACTCTCCACAAGGGAAGATTTCTTGCCAAAAATAGAAAGATCGATCGGTTTCGGAACAGCTGAAGTGGTCGATTTCGAACGTTGAAGCTGATTTGGCTTCTGTTGATTGGAAGCAGCTGCTGGACTTTCCTGTTTGTGGTTCGAGTTCGAGTTATTGTTCGTTTTGTGCTAAAATAAGTTACAAATTAAAATATCTCTTATCTATTCATTTATAAAATTATCTAGATTAAAAATTTTAACACGTTAAGGAACTAAAATAACAATATGGTTCAAAATGAATTTAACTTATGGATGAATATAATAAATAAATTCAGTAAACAATAATGTCAACTATCAAATTGTTTGTTTTTATTTATTTATCTATGTATATATCTAATTATTGTGAAAATATAATTGCACATGTATGTAACTACACATTTAGCTATTTATTTTATATATGCACAGTAATCACACAGTTGCACAAAGTTTATTTTAATAATGAATACAAAAAAATATTTTATTTTAATCTTTTAAATGATTAATTTATTGTATTAATAATGGATATGATGGAAAAGTTTGCTCGGGATAACTTATGAAATTTAAGGGCAAGAACTGAACAATAAGTCTCCTGAACATTTGCTACAAGGAGCATCAGTTCACAAACAAGACAATAGACTATAAGAACCACCTTTAACACTTGGCAATGACATACACTTTGAGTCAAATTTCTAATATATTTTTTGTTAAGAAATTAAAAACATATCACGAAATGCATTTATTTAAATTACAAGACGAGGCCAATTAATCAGAAGTTACCTGGTGAAACTGGTGGTGGGTCGTCTTTGACAGGCCAAGAGGAAAACCAACAGACCTCTGAGATTTAACTAACCTGTTCTCATTGTTCACCGCCACCAGAACATTGCCAGTCGATCTACAGAAAGCAAAAAAAGAGCTTAAATTAAATTCTACCTTAATTTGCAACCATAAATATAAGAATAAGTACAAAAGAAGTTTAATAAGAAAAATGCTAGAATACAAATAAAAATAATATAATAAAACTTCTTTATGAAAAAGATAAACAAATGGACATTCTATAAAAATATTCAGTATATTAACAGTTTCAAGAAAACTATATGTAACCCTTCACAGCCAAACACAAAAAGAACAACTTGTTTTTCAATTAATTCACACTCATTAGTGAATAAATAAGTGAAACATTCCAACAGATTAAAAACAGCTATTGTTTCTTAACAAACTCCCCAACCCTAGTTTATGTCTTCAGTCTGATCAGTGTGCATAGCATTTTTTCATATATGACATTAGCAAACTGCTCTCTGAATTTAGAATCTTTCAGTAACTTTTCATGTGGCATATGTTGCTGCATAGGGATAATAAAGCTTCTTGCCTTTATTCTTGATATCAAGAAATAATAGTCTGAGCGTATATATAAGCTCCAGTGGATCATAGCATTTATTAAGCTAGAAATGATTCATGCACACAAAATGTGGTGTATTTGATTTCTAATAAAACCATCATTTGATCCTTTACTTTACGACTTGTATAAATGTTGTGAATTGAAAAATATCAATATTTATTTATTTTGTTAAAATTATAATACTTAGGAAAAGATACAATTTAGGGGGAAAGAAAAAAATTAATAAAATCAATTAGTATCTCTCGATCGCACATATGCTTTAAAGTTGGTAGAAAATTGCAAACATTCACATTTTTACCACTTAAGACATTCAAGTAACCATTAGAGAGTTTCAAGCATTTGAGTACCACTTACTTGCTAGACTGCAGAGGGAGGCTGGAGCCGAGTGGTGCAAACTCCTTCGCATGGACATTCAGTGCCCTCGAAGACCTTGAAGGGTCTTGTGGATCTCTCTGGCCTACATATAACATATGCTAATTAATAATTACCATTTCAAAATGAAATTTTTTATTACTATTAACAAAGACTTCTTTGATATTTGAGGTACAAAAGAACTAGAAATTAATGTAAGTTTATCAAAATAAAGAAATGAAAAATTATCAGAAATATAATAATAGGGAATGCTTAAATGGATTCAAGTCTTTTATAATTCATATTAAATGAAAATTATTTACTTCTGTAACATATATTGCAAAAGTCTAGCCGAGATATTAAACTTGACAACCTTTGCATGTAAACATCTTACTTTTATTAGTATATTTTGATCATATAAATTATATTTATGTATAACATATTGCAACACATCATTGTTAGCAATGTGTAGCTAATTCATCTGAGATAAAAATTTTCAAAAATCTATAAATCAGTATTCTCATGTAATAGACTGTTAATGTACTGAATAAAATGACTAATTTGAATGCAATTAAAGACAGATCTCTTATTATTATCCACAGACAATATTGTACTTGATACCATTCTCCAATCTAACTTAAACACTAATTCTCTAGAACAACCAAATTAGCCCTTCATTCAATACCTTTAAAATAATTCATGAATAAATCATCATTCAACAATATTAAAGTTATAATAATAATATCATATTTCAGGACTCATTGTTATATATAGGTTTTGTGAATTTAGTCTGAATTCATGTTGAATAAACATCTCACAACAAAGATTTCATATTAGGTGAAAAACACAAACCTGCACGCCTGTATACCAACTAAACTAAATATACGCAGGAGTCACTATTTTACGCACTCGTTTTGATTCTTCCGTTTACTACGTATTAATAGGACATTGTTATTTGACATTTTAGAATAATCTTTTTATAATATACTCATATATCAAACCAAAATATTAATTTTTTTAGCAAAGTTACAATATAATGCATTTTTTTAAGATTAAAAAATTCTCTGGACATGGCGGATGGATCTCTAGTTCAAGTGATTAATTTTGATTATCGCCCTAAAACATCTATCCTACCTACTTCTAGTTCAAGTGATTAATTTAAGAGTACCTAAACATCACAGTGATAAATAATTGTGAAAGAAACAGAGAGACCCTTTCACAAAGGGCCAAGACAGGACATTAGTCCCGGAGGTACTCATGGACCTAGGATTTAATTTTGGAAGTGACTTCAGCCCGAACTGTTTGTTTTTTTTTTGTTTTTTTGTATGTATATATTAGGATATTTACGTCGAAAGAAAGAAAGAAACTACCTATATGAAATAGCGTTTAAGTGATAGTGCAAGTCCTATTAAATGTAATTAGACGAACAATAATACTTTTAGGAATAATATTTTTCATTAAACATGGTTATACTTTACCATTTTTTGGGGAGAGGGCTTCAGCCCCAAAGGCAGTTTTTCTCTTGTCCACTGGTTTGAAATTTTTCAATCCGAAAATTCATAACCCTGTCGAAATGTGACCCCCTCAAAAATTCAAAATCCCGTCAAAATTTACCCTCCTCAAAAATTTTGATGACGCAACTTGCGCCATGAAACCCCCTTGTGGGCACCTCTGATATGTCCTCAAATCCAGTTTTTGAGGAACAGTAAAATTTGAAAAAAAGTAGTACCTGAAAAATTAATAATTTGAAATATAAATTATAAATAATAGCTCATTATAAAGAGGATGATATACTGAACATTTCCCTAGCGGATTTTTACTAGCGGATCCAGGATTTTATTTTGGGGGCCTTCATACCGAAAGCTTTTTTTTTTTTAATATAACGTTTACTTTGAATGATAGTTACTTTGAATGAAAAATAAAGAAACTAATTGCCGCCTATACGAAATGGTGTTTAATTGATTCTTGAAGTCCTATTAAAAACTTTTAGAGATATTTTTTAAATAGTTTTTTCTTATGACATGGTAATATCTTATTATTGGGGGTGGCTTCAAGTTTAAATTTGTGATTTATTATAATGTTTGAAAGGACTGAAAAAGTTGGGAGGACGACAATAGATCATCTGTCACGAGCACAATATTAGGGAATCAGGACCTGGATATTTCATCTTATTGGATATTATACAAGTATTTTAGTAATTCATGTATAGTTTAGACACAATTAGTTTACAATTCAAGTAATTTCAGCTTGTGCTTTATTATAAAAAATATAATTTCTGGAATGCAGGCATATTTCCTCACAATCATACACATTTCCTTCCTATATGCTACGTAACATTCCTATTATAACTTGCTGCATTTCTAATATTTTGAAGTATAAAATATATGAACCGGATAATTAAACAATCATTAAGTAAGCATTTTGCCACACATGAAATTAAGTAATTGGTAAATGGTTGACTGTCGTGGATAATGAAGAGAAGAATAGTTGGGGTGGTCAGTCAAAAAAGAAATTATATTTATTTTTACATATGCCGACGTTTCGACCTGAAGTTCAGGCCTTCATCAGGGCTAAGAAAATAACCAGATAACAAGGTATGAGAAACATAAGTAGTGATGGTAAAAAAAATAAATAAAGAAATAAAAAATTATTAAAAAAAAATAAATATAAAGTAAAATGAAATTAAGTAGTTCTAATTTTTTGATGTGTTGTATATGATAAGCCCGCCTTTTCGACCTCAACAGACCTCAGAATCATTTCGAAAAACTTAAAAAACTTTTGGATATTTTTTTTAGTTTTGGAATCATTAATCAGCCATTTATCACATACATCATTTCAAAAAATATCAAGATAACCTAGATTTTTTACAACAATTTCTTTAGACTATTTCAAATTATACACCAAAGGCAATGAAGGAGTAAGAAACGTCCGAGGCCTAAAAATTAATTATTTAATCAGGTACCTGGTTCTGCTCAGAATGTATAAACATTTTAAGAATTCAAAGGAATATATATATATATATATATATATATATATATATATATATATATATATATATATATATATATGTTTTATCTGATCAATGTTCTCGGAGAAGAAGAAACACTAAATAATCAATGTATACGTCATTATCTAGCTCCGAATTTCTTTGGCAGCTTCATAGGCTGTGAAGTGATGCTGTGCTATTTTTACTGAGCATAAACCAGCCACTTACGGATTTAGTTCTCTTAGTTTATTTCTTTTCAATACATTCCCAGACTAAAGAATGACTCTTGAAATTGTTTTTTTTTTTTTTTTTCTTTCCTTCTCTCAAAGATTAACTGTTTATGAAGAAGTTCCCTGGAAGGTGTAAATTTAATATCAGAAAAAAATAATATATGAGTGAACAACAGCAAATTCAAAGGAGTGAAGGTTTTCGGCTAAGCCCCCTCCCTCTTTCCTCTAAATATATATATTTTGGGGGTCGGGGTAGCCGTACTGGCTAAGGCGCTTGCAATACGTTTTGCTGACCCTCGTGTACTTAAATCGGCAATCGGGATGTGATTTACCAGAATGTTAGTATCCTGAGCTTCGGTTCATGGACGATCTGTTTAGGGAGAAAGAAATAGGTACTCGTGCGGCTGCTGACTTTGAGCAGCCATGATCCATGGATCTAGACCGATTTGTCACTGTCCTTGAACCCAAGTTAATCAGTGAGAAGGGCACTACCAGATTGGCCGCAAAGGGATTGGCTATGGAGCTACGGATGGCCTGCCGATACAACATGGACACCATGGTTCATATCAATGTAAGATTGGGTGCCCCTCTCCAGGCTTATCTGTGCTCCCGCAAGCAGCATACGTCTATAAGGAGACGTAATCTCGCTGTCAAAGATTTTCATTGCCTGTAGCGTCAACCCAAAAAATTTACATATATATTTTTTAAATTGTTCCTTTATCTCTCTATAAAGGAACAATGTTAACTACAATTAATTCACTGCTTGTTTTTGACATAAAAACGATTTTGATCATGACATTTTTTTCTCTCTCCTTCCTCGCCTTTTAGGCTATATGGGGTTTTCCCGGGCCAGGAGTGAGGGCGAGAGATTAATACTGGAGTAAGAAGCCCCCGTGCACCAGGACGCGAACTCGTTTTATTTCATCTTCTTTAACTTTCGCTATCATGTTGCCGAGAAATGCGCGGTGATGCACACGCGTTAGCCCGCTCGACCACCCCGCCGTAGTTTTCATTAATGACCCTTGAAATTTCTCTGTGATCGCTATGAAATATCTTTATTCTCAGAGTCCAGGTGTTAGAGTTCTCCCGAAATTGAATCCTGAATCCTATTTAAAAAGAACGTTAGAATATATTAGTTAGAAAGTTATAATTTATAGACGTAATGATTAATTTCGATATTGTTAGTGCAAAAGGTTGTACGTGAAAATTGATAGCAGTCTATTATAATGCATTGAAACTGAATTATTATAGCAGGGGTGCCCATCCCCCCAAGATCGATGGCGCAATAACCTAACCTCCCTCCTTACAAGATATATTGTAGCTCACCTTTTCTTAAAAACAGAGGAAGCTAAGCAAAAATTTTGATGGCGCAACTTGCGTCATGAAAACCCCTTATGGGCACCCCTGTATTATAAAAGAGAAAGTATATACAATTTAAAAAATGGTCGCTGCGTTTTAGAAATAATTTATTAATCAACACCTAAATATAGCGAATTCACCTCAAAGACTCAGGGGTAAAACTATGACAAATACTTTCTAACCTGACAAATATCATATTTTTAATATGTCATATGGGCAATCACGGAAGTCCAACCAAACGACAGAAAGAAATCAACTGGCAGACAATATGGAACAGCATGGGTCTGTAACAGAAGAGGCTCTCTTTTACATCGTGGTAAATTATTTTTTATTATTAGAAATGATGGCAAAATTATCATTTTACAACATAGAAAAATAATTAGTTGAAGCTTCTGCTACACTTTTAGGGGTACAAGTTCAATTTCGGGAAAGATTTCAGAAGTATACAAAAACAAAGATGTGTGCTTTAGACTACATAAAACCAAAAATGCGAAATTAATAATATTAAATATAACCTTCCATAAAACTCGTTTGAAATTTAGTTTTCGGCATTATTTTTTCCTTTTCGCCTCTCTAAGACGGCGTTGCATTAAGATACAATTTTGAATAACAGCCCATTGTTGAGAAGAGGAAATGCTGAACAATTCCCTCGCTTACAGTATGCAAGTTAGATTTTTACTTTCTGAGATATTTTGATCCATATGTAAAAACACTTCAGTTAGTCGTCTTTAACCGAGCGTTATCACTTCGGAATTCAATCTAATTCACTCTCCACAAAAAATAGCAAAACGCGTATAAAGAAGTTTTCACTTCAAAGAGAAGTATTATCATGAAGTATCGATCTGTAATAACCTAACTCGCAACAAGTTTGAAAATAATGCATAAAACAACGTATCAGATATTCGGATACGCAGAACAAGTTTGAAAAATAATGCAGAAAACAATGTGACAGGTTATATATTCAGGTTATATATTATATACAAGGTCAGTAAAACTACCAGGTTCGCTCACTCACAAATGCGTGGTGGGGGAACTTGCAGTGTGACGTAGCCACTAGACTATCTAACCTTCCTATTCTTTCAAGCCTATCATTGGAAGTTTATTTGAATATTAATGTGTTTTTTTTTAGTTTTACTGGGGTAATTTATTGAAAAGAATATTTTTCTTTGTGCTTGACGTTTAATTGAAGATAATTTTAAGCAGGTAAATCAATAAATACGACAAACAACCTAGAATAAAATATCAAATCAACCTTCCTTTCACCTTTCAAATTTATTAAAATTAATCAATTAATAAGTTATCTGGCAATACAGTATTGATTTAATGTAGAAAAGTAAACAATAATCTTAAAATGTCCAGAAACTGAGGCCGGAGGGGTAAACTTAGTCTTTTGGCCACGTCACAGCTCAATTCCTCGCCGCCATTTTCCCTCTGAGTGAGCTAACCTGGTAGTTTTACTGACCTTGTATTATATACCATACGGAATATATTCAAATACTGATATTTATAGGCAAACGACTTAAAAGAGAACTTCCCAATCCGAATACTTTTAACAATAACATTTAAAATATGAATAATAATAAATAAAGTAATAATAAACATTCCAATAAATGCACACGATCAAAATATTTAAAAAATAAATCAAAATATTAATGAAAAATCATGATGGTATAATTGATAAGGTGTGTAATCTCGAGTTATTTTTAGGGAAGAAACCCTATCCTTCCTTGAGCGTGTTTCCGCTTTAAGCTACTTCTCTGAAGACCTGCCTTAAGTTGTTAATGGCACTAGCGGATCCAGGATTTAATTTTTGGGAGGGGGGGCTTCAGCCCGAAAGTTTTTTTTTTTCATAACGATAATTACTTTGGAAAAAAAGAAAGAAGCTAACTACCTATATGAAATGATGTTTAAGTGATTCCTAAAGACCTTTTAAATGTAATTACACGAACAATAATACTTTAAGAGATACTTTTTTAATATTTTTTTCGAAAAAACATGGTTATATTTTAGCATTTTGGGGGGGGGGGCTTCAGCCCGAAGCCCTTCCCCTCCCCCGTAGATCCGCCCGTGGTTAATGGGTAGATCATAACTTGTCACACTAATTGTAAATGGATAATGTTGGAATTTAACAAAAGGAAAATTCATCCAAATATTCATTAATTTAATTTCCTAAAAGGTTACTTGATGATTTTTGGAATAAACGGTCAATAGACACCTAATTATTTAAATGTAATATCATATCTAGAGTTATTAAACTACAGTAAATATATTTAAGGTTATAAGCATATCCATAAAATATTTTTATACTTCACTTCTTCTTTCACACAAGTACAATGAAATAGTATTTTAAACAATGGCATTGGCTTGATTCGGTGGATTTTAAATACTTTTATTTCAAACTTAGAAAAAAAAATTAAAAGTTTACATTTAGTAAAAAAATTTCATTTAATTTCCTTGGAAACATGTGATTTACGTTAAATAATGTCAGTTTTCTGAAATTATTACTTATATTTTTTTCACTCTCCGTTACCTTTTACAGGTATATTGATTTGATATTATTTTTTCTAAAATTCTCCGCTTTCCAACGATATATTATACCTATATCTTCTGACTGTTATTTTCGGAGATTCATTTTCGACCTGGATGAGCATATTTCTTTTTTTCTCTTTATTCAATTATCCAATTCCATCAAAAGTTATATTTAGCCATTTTTTATAGTTATTGTCAATAAAAGGGAGTTATATTTTCAAAATAAACCATATTAAAGGTACTTTAGAAGAAGACGTATATGAACATTGGGCATTTGAACCCTGCGAAGTGACATCAACAGGGATAAGACCTCAATGATATTAAAGACCACTTAATTACACAATAATACACCGAGTTTAATCAATATCGTAAAATTGTGTTTCACCGCTAATATAAAGAGGCACTGCCGGTTTGCCGTTTTTAAGGAAAATGTTGCTGTCTCATCTAAGGCATATACCTAACTTAAATACGTAATATCAGTTTCGTACTACTTTTCATTTTTGAGCTAGGCTGTTCACTCACACACACTCATACAAGCGCGCGCACGCGCACGCACAGGCCATTTTGCGGGACCTGTTATTTCGACTCACCTGACCTCAAAACATGTATTTCTCTTGAAAACTCAGATTCCAAAATTTTCCAGATCGTGATACTTTCTCTTACTATATAGTTCATATAGAGGTAAATAAAAGTAAAAAAATCATTATAAAAAATTTCAAAAAAAATTGCTTAGACGCAAAAAAAAACATACAATTTCTTGAATGACATGGAATCGTAGGTTATTGAAAAAAAAGAATAATCTTAGATGCTTTTGGATACAATTGGGGTATGTTTTTATAATATGCCAAAAAATATATACTTATTTTTGGCAAAAATAAAAAAGTTTTAGGCAATTACATTATTTTTCAAGAATGATCTCACAATAATGACACAATGTGCTGAAGGTTTACAATACCTGTAGGCATGAAATACATCGCACACGGGAGATGTTCACTGTAACAGCTAAAGGTAGGGACTGATGAACCTAATTCAAAATGAGAGCAGAGTTCCACAAATACGTAGACTTAATCAAACGTGTTTTCTGAAAAACAGTTTGGGATTAATGAAGGTTTTAAACTGAGGCCTACGGGTGATAAAATACTTATCCTAAAATAAAATTTACATTGTTCTGAACTTTGTCACGTTTAAGAGTATATTTGGACTTTGGCCCACTGTGTTCCGGTCGGAACATATCTTATGACAAAATATATTTATTAGTTTTAGTTTTCAAAATATTTTATCATTAGATTTGAAAGGCTCATATTAAGCATTCAATTTAAATAGATAATTTGATCAAGAATCTATATACAACTAACTTACAGTTTCTTAGTTCTAGTTTTGTAAAAATCTTTAAGTAGTGTTATCCCCAACTTGTAAAGTTTTCCCGTCTTACGGTAAATAATATATTTATCAATAATGAAAATAAAGTTATTTTTTAACACCAGTTATATTCTGCATTTCAATTACTTGTGCGGCGTACCCTATACATAAATCCCATGAGGTATGAAATGAGGTAACCTCTTTAGTTTAAATTTCTTTCTTTTTTTTTTTAACCCACTTCGCACATTTTCATAACCTTCAGAAATTTTGTGAACTAGGATCGATGAAAGTTCGTGGTGGTTGACCGTGTAGTGAAACTTTTCATACATTGGTTTAAGCTTTCCAACATTCTCTTCAACCTCTCCTCATTTACTGTTGCGTTCAATGCAACTTCAGAATACTGATGCATAAATAGCTCTTAAACATATTAAGCGTTGAATCATTCATCGAAACGTATATCACACACACATAAGATATATCACTGTATGTTAATTTATTGTGGTCTGGATAGCTCGAAATACCGGAAAATTGCCGTTAAAATTGGGCCTCTGGCGTGAGATAATTGTTATTACATACATAGAATGTGATATATATGTGTGTCAGTGAGTATGCTTACTCGTATATGTGTGTATGGGTACTTACTCGCGTCGAGTGTGTATGTGTATGTTTTAAAGACGAAAACAAAAAGAAGAGTATCCTCGAACTAATTCTAGGACATGGGACCCGCCCATCCTGCCACCGCTTCACTGACCCCGTCAATTAACAGTTCCGGAATTGGCTCAAACTGCCTACCTCTGGTGTTTTAGAGTAACCTAGGAAAACGTTCGAGGCGGATTTGAAATCCGATCAATAAAAAAAAAAATATATCAACATAAGTCCACAATGCAAAAAGTTCCGATTACGGATGAACTGTAAAAATTATATATAGCACGAACATGAACTGATGAGGAGGAGTGGGAATCAGAAATAGACTAAGATCGAACGTATGAGGGAGGTCTTTTATGACAGAAAAAATCTGTATCTTGCGACTTCTGATGTTTAAATCCCAGAAAGTTATTTTTTTCATAAACCTTAAATTTCTTCAGATTTTAAATGAGTTAACACTGTAAAATATTTTTAAAACGTCGGCCAACATACTCCTAGTTTTGATGATGCCACACAACTCAAACATTAACGACTGACTACATACTTTTGCTAAGTACAATAAAAAACAATTGATTTATCATTATGACTCATTGTGAATATCTAGGAACTGAAATTATTTTAATTTCAATATAATAACATGTTATTATTGTATGAGAATGTCAGAACAGAATAAACAGTATGTGACAATATTAAGTGATTTTAAATTTAAATATGCAGTCTGTTTCATACCTTAAGGAATATTTTTTTTTTCGACTCATACATTATATATATATATATATTTTTTTTTTTTTTTTTTTTGTGATACTGAGTAATGGAATAAACCTTTCAAAGTTCTGCTTAAAGCTTTAAGATCTTACATGAGAACAGAACAGCTCCCTCCGATTTGGTATTCCAAAATGCTTAAGAAATTTTCAACTCCAAATTAGAGTTTTTTTTCCTACTTCCCAGACGACCGTTCATTTGTTTCTAGTGTTCCGGGGATTTTCTTTTCTTTTTTTTTTAAATATTTTTATATCGATCCATACTCAAAAAGAAATACACGACATTGGTGTACGTTTTTTAAAAGGAAAATAGTTAGAGGTTGCTAATGAACACTAAAAATATTAATTGTGGATTGATGGTTGACTGAAGAGAATAGTTGAAGAGAAGAATGTTTGAGGTTATCAGTCAAAAGAAAAATTAAAAAAATAAATAAGTATATTTATTTTTATTTTTGCCGACGTTTCTGCCCAAAATTAAGGCCTTGCGGAGACCAGAATTTGCGGAATTCTTTCGTTTGACCAGCCCTAATGAAGGTCTGAACTTTGGACCGAAGCGTCGACAAAAATAAAGATAAATATATTTATTTATTTTTATAATTTTTTTTTTTTTACTGATCACCCCAAACTTTCTTCTCTTCAACTAAAAATATTCTTTCTAGAAATGATAACTAGAGACATTTTTAACGTTTTGTTTACTTTTGAATACTTTAGGATGTCTGCTATCTTGCTATCTTAACTTGATTCATCAGCGAGTTAACCAAATAATAAATTCGGTTTAAAATGGAAAAATGCTCAAGATATCAATATTTTTTTTTAAAGTAGAACAGTTTAATTGAGAATCAATTCCGACAAAAATGAGCGACACAGAAGAGTTTGACCTATTTACGCTACTGAATGAGCCATTCAGTGGCGAGTATTCGTAGTCCATTTTGGATGTGGGTAATCTGATAAATAACAAAATATATATGATACAATCTTATGTTGTATATATCTTACATTGTTTATTACGTTGTTTATAGGTTGAATCGAATTAAAATTATAAAACACTTATGCGATTAAGATTTATATTTGATTCTTCTCCGTTTATGCTTTTTAATTCACCAATTAAAATTGTAGCGTGCTTATTTGACACAAATAAAAAAGGATATTCGAAAATAATATCCTTTCAATTCAATGAGTTTTGAGACACTCCTTATTCAAAAATTACGTTTATTGGCTATTGTTATATTCGTCCTAACCTCTCTAATGGAAAATGATACGAGATAGATATCTTTCCGGAGCAGATAAGTCGTAACCATTGAGCGAAATATTATACGTAGATATGAAATGAACACTTATACCAGATAAGCTGTTGAAAGGATTCGGTGGTCTTCGTTTGACATTGTGTAAGGTTTCTGTTTGTTATGGACCACGGACCAACATTAAACTATTCTTCAGATAAATTAAGTGTCGAAAATTATGTTCACATCCAGTTTTATCTATATATATAAACGTTTATATTACTTACTACTTTGCATACCACGTACTTGAGACGAAAAGATATTATAAGAAGAATCAAAAAGATAATGCGTTCTGCGGCTTATACCTCTAACGCTATAATGGGAAACAGAAAGTGTTGGTTTAGGGCAATCTATTTTTCAATTGCCTCCTGGAATTGTATTCGAGAAATGAATTTCTTCTATTATGATACACGTGGTTGATGATCTGAGAGCAATGCTGAATTTCTCAAATTCTCGAATAATATTTAAATTCCAAACTTTTTCTTTCGAGCTCTGTTTTTGTAATTCCTTTAACGATGTTAATGACTACAAATAAGAAAAAATTCAGTCAACGAACCATTATTTCTATAAAAACATGCCAAAGCTGAAAATATGAGTTCTTCATCAATTGAAAGTATGTTAAAATGTCTACTATTCTGGATTACTCACAACGTACTGCCACTTATTTGAAGAACATTGCAAAAAAAGAAACATATGTGGATGAGATGTGTGTGAGCTTGTAATACGATTTTAATTCCAATCTTATATGAACGAGTCCTCGATGAATGTCTTAAAACCTTTAATATTTCGCCGACAAGACATCCGCTCTTTGGTCAGTTGATGACGTAGTCGGTGGTTGTAATTCAGCTCTCGTAGTCTCCGAGTTACTCTCTACGAATAATGACATCTTCTCGAATTCTTTAATGGCACGTCCATGATTTCTAATAAGCACTTTAAAAATCGTCTTCATCCGCCCTACATTTAATAAGTTTAGTTATGGGTTACATTCGCTATTCAACTAGTTATAATGGCTAAATTTTAAATGGAACCTTATAAAAGTTACTATTTAACAACAAACGCTGAGAACTTACAATATGGCGAACTAAATGTTAATGATAAACAAGTAGTTTTAATTGAATTCCTTCAAACGTTTCCAATATCACGCGCGATTTATTCTGGTTCATCAAAGATGGATATGAAATATATATACAGGATAGTGGTCGGGAATTATTGAATAAAGGAAAGTTCATTAATTCTGCCATCTAAAATAAATATAAAGCCCAGAATCCGTCCATAACTTCAACTAGATTTTAAACAAAAAAAAAAATCCTTAATTATCTCAAATATTAATACTCAAAATTTTGGGATAGTTGAGAAATTCGCGGCTCTCTATTTGGAATCTTCTAATTATATCATGATAGTAAATGTATCTATATTTTTTTTATTATTGGCTCTTTTTAATTTGTCTATTTTTTTATTAAAGGAGTTTGCAATGCTTTAAATGGAATATTTTTGCCCCGATTCAGGTATCATCAAGACTGAAAAAGTAAGATCACATGTATGCAAAAAATAAGGGGGAGGGGGGAATTAGTCTCTAACATTCAGGTAAATAATATGTTAGAGACTCGTGGCTTTATATTTTGAATTTTTCCATTTAAATCATAATCACAGTATGTGTATTTTCGAGCTATATGTTTATTACAGTAATATTATTTGTAGAGTAGCCGTATAGACACTGTGTTTGGTTAGGTATGGATGTTATATACTTATAGATAGATAGATAGATAGAAATAAACTTTATTCTGGGACTAAGTCCCTTCAGAATAACAATAATGTACAAAATAATAGAATATTACTGGCCTAAACGTTTGAAACAATAAATAAAATTGATAAAATAAAATAAAAAGTAAAGAAAACCTTAGGTGCACAAGCTATATACAATACAGATAAAACTAAGTACAGAGCATTTAAAATTATGAACAAAACAATTAAAACTATGAACGAATCACTTGAACTATGAACAAAATTATATATAAGGGTTGAACAACATAAACATACACTTTGAGAAATGAAGAACGAAAAAGAGATACAATAAGTTCATTTCATAAAAAAAAAAGACTTTACTTGAATATATATATATATATATATATATATATAAAAATAAACAGTTAATTATAATTGAATAAAAAAAAAAATGTATGTATTGCAATTCCTACGTCGATAGTAGGAAATGCATGTACTATCTCTTACCAAGTATTATGATTATATGATTGCTACACAATACAAATATAATATTAAAAGTTAGCTGGTATCTGACTGTTTTTGGAACAGGAATTGGAATAGGAGGTTTTTGAATATGTATAGGGAGGGGGCATGTCGAATTTTGATCGGGAGGGAATTCCAAAAGTTGACAGAGCGGGCTATAAAGGAATTTTGGAATGAGGCAGATCTATGAGAAGGGATGTATAGGTCAGAGGGTCGGGATCTTGTAGTGAGGGAATGGATTGAGGACTTAAATTGGAGAAGGTTGTAGGCATAAGAGGGACGATGATCGGTAATGATTGGATAAAGGAAAGTGCCTAGGAAATATTGTCTTCTTAAGGTTACGGACTTATATACTATTAAGTCCGTGGAGGAAAGTTACTACCGATAGTTCTTCATTGATGGAATCGAACTGTCTATAGTGGAAAACTATCGACTATCGCCCGTCCCTAAAAAGACTTAGTAAACGACTGTTATTTAAAAATTTTTCACCGTTCCTACTGTTCATTAAAATGACCCGTTCCTTTGGAACCGTTTAGGTCCGCAACGAACGACACATGTCTGTCCATTACGTATTAGGATAGCTTGGCTAAATAATAAATGTTTTTCTTCTTTTCTTTCTGCGTTTATCGTCGGCATCATGTTAAATTAAAGAATGTGCAACGATGGACATGTTCAAATTCGTTACTTTAACATGGTATCGACGATATGTGATCTTAGTTTTTCTTCCTGATGATACCTGACTTGACGAAACGTTTAAATAGTAATCACTGTAAGTCTCTTTTAAAACTATATGTTTTAGGAATTTGTAACTAGAAAATAATACGTTATTTTGTTATGACATTTATTTCACAATGTACCGTTGCAGGAAGGAGTGAGCTTGATGTGCTACGTCATCACCCTCTTCGGGATTGCCTACCTCGCAGGTACGATGAAGACATGATCATCACAGGGCGGACGTCTTTCCTGATCTTGTTAAACTCTTTATAATATAAATGTTGTTCGTTGAAATACATTATTTATTACTTATTATTGATCACATATAGCTACTGTTAATGCAAAAGGTCGTATGTAGTAACAATTTTACATGTTTATTCTATGTTCGCTGAAGGTGATATTTTGTAGTCAGAAACAGCAGTTGCAGATTACAGATCACTTATAGCAATAAGTAGTTTGCTAGATAGGAAATAGCAGATGGGAATGAAATATGAAATTATGCGAATATATCATAAAGAAATAATCGGTTTTTAACCTCCACACAAGAGCAAAACATTTGCAGATCGCGTATTTGATGAATCGTTAAAAATGTATGTAATATATATTTATATTATATTATTAAAATATGAAATATTATATTTGTTAAATTTTAAACAAATAATATTAAATAAGAAAACAAAAACTAAATACGACAAATAGAAAATACTTACATATTATGGGACAACAGTCCTAGAATAATACAATATATTTTCATTTCATTTAATTTCATTAGGTCGCTAGGAATCTCACAGATCCAACCTAAGTTTTACTATAAAAATTTGGCGTCTGACCATTTAGGCATTAAAGGAAACGAAATGGCTGATAGAGCAGCAAAAGAAGCTCTTACCCTTATAGGCCGTGGTAAAGCGTTTTTGACACCATCTGAACTTGCACGACCTCTAAGAGAAACCATATCGCAAGAATGGCAAAGACGGTGGGACAACAGCGACCTAGCAAATTAAAGACAATAAAGAAAGAGGTGCAACCGTGGACCAGCTCCAGACGCAGCAGTCGTAGAGAAGAGGTCGTCCTTACGCGGCTGAGGATCGGACATACTAGACTGACACACCTCCACCTCACAACAAAAGATCTTATCCCCAGAGGTCAAAAGTGTGACCAGTCATTAACTATAAAACATATTTTGGAAGAGTGCCCTTTTTACACCGCAAGGTTAAAAGATCTCGAAATACCCCAGAATAAATAAAAAAATATATATCTCTGGGAAATAAAGAATAAATCGTTACCAAAGTTATCAAGTTCCTAGACAATGGAAAATTATAAAACATATATAACAAGTTACTATATATATATATATATATATATATATATATATATTATATATATATATATATATATATATATATATATATAAAACTAATGATCCTTTACAGATTTTTTATTTTTATTTTTTTTATTTTAAAAGATCATTGATTAATTAATTTATTGATTTCATTGCCTTTTTTTTTCTTGTACTAAGCACCTGAACAGTATAAAAGCAGTGTTATTTAGTTGATCTGGCGCTGATGATCTCGATGTTTTTCGCCTAGACACCGAATTAAACGGGCAAACTATAAAAATTGAATGTGACACAGGTCACTCCAATACTAGATCGTATGAATCCAAGAACCAGGAGAATACATAAATATTATAACCACACATAATTATATTATAACCATATGTGGATATATTATAACCACGTTTAATTATATTATAACCATATATGGAAATATTATAACCACATATAATTATATTATAACCATATATGGAAATATTATAACCACACATAATTATATTATAACCATATGTGGATATATTATAACCACGTTTAATTATATTATAACCATTACGATATATATTATAGATATATTATAACCACATCAAAAAGACCGCTCAGCGGATCTCTCAGATCCAGTGCGATCTTCCTGGTGTCAATTTTGAATAATATTTCATTACATAGAGGATGAAATGGTGAACAATTCCCTCGCTTACAGTATGCAGGTCCGATTTTTAGTTTCTGAGATATTTTAATCCAAATGCAAAAACACTTCAATTTGTTGACTCGAGCCGACTTTTCAGTCTCATCCCCTATCCACAAAAACAAGTGCAGTGCGCCTAGTTTTCACTTCAAAAATAAAACATAAATAAATTTCACCTTACATAGTTTTAGGTGAAATAGAACCTATGGCCTGCTTATTTTATTTACATAAAATGATTACTGATACCTCTTGTTTGATGGCACGCTAGTTTTTACAAAATCTTATTTTTGCGCTAAGAAAATTAGTAGCTGTGATGTCATCTTTGCAAAATAATGCAAGAGAATGAGAGATGATAAAACACATTACGACCAAATACTGCATTTTAAACGGTATTGTACTTGTGTATATACACAAAACCGTTCGGCAAATAATCAGTGTTGGTCAGTTTTTCATATGGTACCGATTTATTAACTAAAGTTACTTCACAGTCCAGTTGATGTGTCACGTGGAATTAGAAACTATGAGTAGTTCCTGGACTGTATTGTGCATGATAATAAAGGAATAGAAAGGTAAGAATGTTGTAAAGAACTGCTCATGTGATCATCCCATTCACATCTCACACATCCAATCTAAAATAAAGATCTAAAGAGGTTGACGGATACTTACTGGGCGGCCTGTAGATCTCTTGCGTTGGAAACTTGCTCTTTTGTCCCTGTTGCTGATACCTCTTGTTTGATGACGTTCTCTGCCCCTGCTGTTATACATCTATTAGAAATTCATCTACATACAGTCTTATCAAAACTAAATAAAAACAAAATTAAAATGATAAAATATTATAGAATATTTAATAGTTGACCGTTGCATTATAAAGGAAGGAGATGGTCCGGGGTTGCGGTCATAAATAGGCTAAATAGTGGTAAAACTACTTTATTGAAAGCCAACGTTTCGACCCGACTTTGCACAAACTTAGTTTCACTTAGAACTCAACTCGTAGTTCTAAGTGAAACTCCTAGATGAACACACCTCCCTGATGAAGACCTGCAAAGTCGAGTCGAAACGTTGGCTTTCAATAAAATAGTTTTACCACTATTTAGCCTATTTATGACCGCAACCCCGGACCATCTCCTTCCTTTATAAAATATTATAATATTTAAGAGCAAAATATAATAGCAATACTGCAGATAAATCTGTTGGCCAATGAGTGTTTTTGTATTTTTATTGAATTATTGTTACCCGGTTTATTAATAAGTCATTCAAAAAATACATAATTGTGATAATAGTTGTTTGTAAAATTAGAGTTACTTAACAAATTATCAATTCCATATTGTTTCACTTAGTTGCCAGATATTCATCTTACACCCTAAATACTATAAAACACATTATAAAAAAATAAAGAAGACTTTTGTAGGATTACTAGTAATAATTTACCTAGAACTATTTTATTTTTCTGTTGGTTTCTTCAGGACATTAAGTTTAAGCATTACATTATATAATTTTACTATCTTTCAAAATGTCAAAATGATACAGAAAATACTTAACTTTCATTCAAAAAATTTATATCTTTATTAAAATACGTAAATATCAGCTAAATAAAGTTTTAGATCAAGTGAATACTAAAAATGTGAAGGTTGAGTTTGTTTTTTTTTTTGCGTAAAATCTAGGAATTTACACATTAAATTATAATTGTTCTAACTTGTGAAGAGTTGAAGGCAAGATATATTGTTGACGAAAAGTTAATGTTCAACATCCTTCTTTCCCACGTTTTCATAGAATCAATAAAAAACAAATATGGCTAATAAAACGAAGATAGAAACATAAGACAAAAATTTGTTTATTCAAAATTGGTCATTATGAGTGCGGTGCAATTTCTAAGGAATTGATTTGGAAAGAGAAATGTATTGTATATATCCTTTATTTAGGGGCCTTTGCATTATTTCTGGTCGTTTAATTACGAAAAACGCTTGATTTTCAACTAACGTTTGAACGACTTGAAAAAAAAAAAATCGGGGTTTTTTATTGCCTAAATCAATTATTTTTTAATATTGGTTTATTATTTTCAATAATGAACCATTGCAATCGACCAAAAAATTGAAAAAAATTAATCCCCTTTCAAAGTTTTACGATTCTTGACATCTTGATGAAACGAATAAAAACGTTTTTGTCCCTCCGCCGTCCGCGCATTTTCTCCGAAAATACTGGACCGATTTTTTTTTCAAATTTTGATCTAAATTCAGAGGTCACCCGCCGATGATCCTCCTACATCGGCATTACTGTAAACTCTAAACTCTAAGATAAACTAAGATTTTTAGTAGAATTTTTAAAAATATTGAATAGGAGATCGGTAAGGTACTAAGTGTTGAATCAAGATGTCATCAATAAGATGGATGGCTTTTAAAAAAGAAAGAAATGCATTTTTAAAAGAAAGTAAGGTATAATTCTGTTTTCGTGTGTGTCAATGTTTCGGCCTAGGTTACCTATCATAAACATTGACACACACGAAAACAGAATTATGCCTTACTTTCTTTTAAAAACTTATTTCTTTCTTTTTTAAAAGCCATCCATCTTATTGATGACATCTTGATTCAACACTTAGTACCTTACCGATCTCCTATTCAATATTTTTAAAAATTCTACTAAAAATCTTAGTTTAGAGAAAAAAATCCAAGAATTGCTAAAACAAGTTAAAACAGCATATTAAAGCGTTTTGGAAGTGCACAAATCCAAAACGGTATAAGTGAAAAAGTTTACACCATCCAGTGCGATTAACAACGAAAACATTATTTTCTAAAAAAAAAAATATGTAATCCGAATATTGGATAAATCGAACTTTTCGGACTAGTTAGTATCGATTTATCCAATCAGGACCATAAGATTATACAGTAAGTTACCTGATGATGGTAGTTGTTACGAGGCCCTTTGGTGACAGGAAACTCCATCTGGGTATAACTCCGCCTCAGCTCCCGCCCCTCCATTCTACAACCAAACTAGTATTATCCGTCACATTATCAAGTCAGATACAATTATCTGGATAGTTTAGTTTATTATATTTAGCCAAGTAAAGAATTGCTCCTTACATCTTAGACGGAATGTGACATGCAATGCCACACCCTCAAACAACTGTTATCCCTAGTGTTACCCAAAATCGGTCTTGGTCTTGCAAAGTGCAAGACCAAGACCAAGGCCGCCTAACTGTTGCAAGACCAAGACCAGGACTGGTAAAAAAAATCGATTTTTTGAATAAACATTAAGCCAAAATAGTTACTAATACTTGATAATCTTAGTTACTATATGTTAATAATTGGTATAACCAATATACTTTTGCATTTAACTCCTCTAATTTTTCATTCGGGCTTAGTTAGGTTTCTCTTATTTAAAAAATTACAGTAACATCTCTAGAATAATAAGCTAATAAGTAACTGCAAGACCGTTGCGAATGTCTACTGCGCAAGACCAAGACCATGATGACCAAAACTGAGTTTGCAAGACCAAGACTCGCCTTGGTCTCGCATTTGGGCAACACTAGTTATCCCCTTTATTTTCTAAATCTGTGCTAGTGTTGCCCAAAATCCAAAGACCAAGACCAAGACTAGACCCTGCAAGACTTGTGCAAGACCTACAAGAGTCTTGCAGGGCTTGAAGTAAGTCAAACTGAGACTATTTTCAGATATAGTACTGTGAAACATTTTAATCATCTAACCTAAATAGCGTTGTTTTTTCTTGTGGAATTGTATATTTCAGTACAGCGTTCCAAATAATAATAAAAAATTAATCTTTTTCTTGTCCCCTACCACGCAATTTAGGTTATACGATGGTTTTCGCGGGCCAGGGCGTGAGAGTGGAGATTAATGACAGAATTAATAGACCCCTCGGCCAGCGGGGTCTCATAATTTTTTTATTCCAACTTCGGTTATCAGGTTGCCGGGCAACGCACAGTGCTGTGAACACTCGTTAGTCCGCTCGGCCACCCCGCACCTAAACATTAATCATTTGTCAGGAACAGAGCAAGATAATAAAACAAAACAAAAAACGCGTTTTCATGAATAAAAATTAAGACTAAATGGTTGCTAATACTAGCCCATTTTAGTTACTATAATGAAACTTCTCTTCACAAGAAGTGGACGCTCTAGGGGAATCAAAAATTGCCCGCTATAGAGAGAAGAAAAAAAGCTTTCGGAATGAAGCTCCCAGTTCAAAATTAAATCCTGGATCCGTTAGTGCACTTTTGTTTCTATTATATATTATTTTATTACTTCTCACATTTCGTTACGTTTATTTAACGTTACGGAATCTTCTATCACCAGAAACATATTCACAAATGTATGATCCTTCTCTTTTTTTGTTGTGCTCCCTTTCTCATTTTATAAAATTTATCCATTACTTTTTTGTAGTAGAACATATTCAGGGACAATATACATCTTGAACAACTGGTTGAATATCTCGATGTATAAAAAATATAATTTCAACAAAATTTTATTGCTTCCCAAAAATTGCCACCTCAGGCAAGTCTAGTTTGTATACCAATTCATCACTATGTTGCGATACCTTGAATGAGTTACCGTGTGACATTAATCAAAATTCTTAATGATAATGGTTGAGTGAAAGAATTGACTTTTGTAAATAAACAATCAACACTTGTACGAATGGTCATCACCAAAAAAAATTATTCCACTTTATTTCACTCATATATAGGTAATGAAGCAAATCCATTGACGACACCATCGATTCATTCTTCCTTCCACCAACATCAATTCACAAACCCAATTCCGCAAGGTCAGTCGTAACGCAATCCTCCTGCCTACGCCTTGATCACCAGCTCTGATGTTTACGTCGGCTAAATATCTGAAGCTCCAATTAATTTTTACAGATTTTTTTCGCTATTTCGCCCCAACAGCTTACATATTTACACCGACAGTTGTTTTACTATTGATTCACTTATACTTATCATATTGTAAGTGGATGTATCTTTCTCAATTCTGCGTCGTGTATTCTCTTGAATTGTTCCCTCCTTTTGTCCCACTGGTAATAATTCTAATTCCGTCTCTAGGGCACAAAACTGTCCGAAGGATAATAGTCTTGTAAATTCTATCATGTTTATATAAAGTCGGCGCGAACTAAGCAGTTTACCGACTGAGAAATAACAAGCATTGTCTGTTCTTAACCTTGCATTTATTTTCTTCTGAGCTCCGATAATTTCATTCCATTTAGTGATATTATGCAAAAATTATATTATTTCCATACTATAAATTATATATAATTGATACCGTGTTATTTTTTTTATTTTTTTTTAAATCTGATTCGATGGGCGCATCACACCAACTTTCACATACCAACCTTGGAGTAGTTAGATATTTTCTTATAGGAAGTCGAAGTAAAATCGACGGTAGAAATTCATTTAAAACAATTCTTTACCCTGTTTTTGAAGCCCATCGAATCAGTTAAATTTATACATTTGTATCACTTTTCATGTCCTTTTACGACTGTGTTTAATATCAAATACTAATGATTTTTGGGAAAAAGGATCTGTAGGAAAAATTCTGATTTTTATCGAAAACATTTATCACCAAACTCAGTATTGCATATTATTAGGTTTATAGTAGTAAATTCTTAACATTTCGTTACCAATTAATTTTCTTCATTCGCTATATTTTACCATATTTTATAGCAGGTTCAGATGTGAAATGGTTAATTATTTTAAATAAAATTATAGATACTTTTAAATAAAAAATTTTGAAAATTAGGCATTTAAGCCCTGTCTGGTTGCATCGATGAGGATAAAACGTACTTTAAATTAAAAAACACTTAATAGTACACTGAACTATTGAGCTTAATCAAAATCGATATAGCCGTTTTTGAAAAATCCTAAAAATATGTTTTATCGTTGATATAAAGTACAAATTCCGGTGTGCAAAATTTGACGAAAATGTTGCTGCAACATCCCAGGCATATACGAACCTTAAATACGCAATTTCATATCTACTTATATTCATATCACTATCTTGAGTTGGAGATTGTAAATTTGGCAGTGTCTTTTTGAACTGTCGTTCTTAAAATATGGATTATATATATTTTTTAACATAAAGAAACATTCAGACAAACGAGGAACCTCTCCCAACCCCTTGCAATGCCTGGATATCGCATTGGGGTGTTGCATCCGTTTACTATCTCGAAGACATATTTTAACTCACTGTAGTTGCGCCAATATTTAAATATTTTATATCTACTTATATTCATTTATTTGTACGACTTTTCGTTTTTGAACTATGCTGTTCACATACATACACACAGACACACAGAATAGTTTGGGGGACTTGGTTTATTAGACCCAGGGGATCTCAAAACGTGTATTTCGGTTGAAAACTCAGATTCAAAATTTTTCACGATTTGTAAAGTACATATTACAAATACGTATCCTAACTATATATATATATATATATATATATATATATATATATATATATATATATATATATATATTATATTTATATATATAGGTGAGTGAAAGTAAAAATTTTATTTCATACAAATTAATGTCTCCAATTATTAATTAACTGTGTTAATAGCGCCAATTAAAAAGTCGTGCGTGCCCATCCTCCAAATGTCGATGGTGCGTGGCCCTTCTTTCCTCTCGCCTAAGATATTTTATAGCTCTCTTCTTCTTAAAATAATTTCAACTGAAAGTAGAATTAGAAAATCTGCTGCTCATATACAATTACACCAAACGCATTATTTCCCTCTTGTTCCCGCGTTTGAAAGTTCCTTCCAATTGAAAGCCTAAAAAATAGGCCTCCTCAAAAAATTCAAAACCTTGTAATTATGTGCATCCTTTAAACTTTTTGATATCGCAACTTACGTCATGGAACCTCCTTCTGTATACAACTGTACCGAATAACGTCTTGATTTCTCTCTCAAAAAAATTACTGTAATTATCATCTTAACGAAAATTTGTTATAATTACACACCGTCTCCTCCTAGAATTAACGGCTTGTAGGAGGGCATTGGTATTTTAAAAATAATCAGAAATAATTTTTTTCAATCCCAGCATTCTAGAGAACAACGCAAGTGGTTGCTAATTTTAAAAACAGCTGCAAACTAAAGTAAACAAAGAGGAATGCTAAGGAGTATTTGTCATGCAACGTTGACGACCCCAATGCAAATCTCCTTTTACATGCACCTCGACCATAATTAGAAAGATTCACAGTCTAATGACGCATTTAGTCTAGAAATTATGTTGCCTTGTTTCAGAGGTGCTGAGTTCTGTCGGTGTGCATTAGAAAGTATCGAAATTTTTCTTATATAAATATATTATTGAATTGTTCTTTCAACTTAATATAAAAACTAAATTTGCCAGGGCCGAGGAGATAAATCAAGAACCCCAGAGATATTTTTCCCGTGATCCTGTCAAATGTTATATATACCTAAAATCTAATCTTGAACTTCATAATGTATGAAACAAAAATATTATATAAAGATATAACATAACGATCATGTAATATTCCCTATAGTTAAAAGGAGTAAAAAAAATAAAACCTTGTAGGCCAGGAGCCTGGACCCAGAGGCTACGACCCCAACTGTCCCCCCCCCCTACTCTTGTCGAGCCTACCTGAGGTTCGCAAGGAAATCGTTTTTGTTCCAAATTTCATTCATCGCTGATTTTATCTACTAGTAATATAAAAAGCCTTTCAGGCTATTTTCTATTTAATTAGTTTCTGTTTTCCTGAGATTATTTTTATGGTAATCTCGTTTTTAATTATTAGAAACTTAATGGGAACAAATTAGAACCAGGGAAAATAACAGCATGTCTAAACGCTTTCCCAAGCTGAAACGGACTTCAAAAAAAAGGTTTTTTTTAAACATAAGAAGAATTAATTCAATAGTTTCATCCTTTATATTTAGGAAGTATATAAAACTGTGATCGGTGGGATTATTTGTTTAGAAAGCATTCCTTCGTCCTGTCCATACCAAAAATTGATTTA